CAGGCCTGAACCAGGGCTGGGAATGGGCCCGGCAACAAAGTTAATGCCCCTTGCCTGGAATTGAACCTAAGACCTTTCAGTGCACGGCCGACACTCTATCTACCGAACCAAACCGGCAGGGCAATAAATCTTCATTTTTTAAAGACAGGCATCAGGCCAGATTTGGCTTGCAGGCCAGCTTCTGATAATTCATTCATTTTTTATTTATTTTATTCTTGGGGTTATAAATGTAGTACTACCACTGTTTATTTTATTATTCAAATTGTTTCAGCTGTTGCCATTGGGAACTTTTTCAGTGGGCTCCTTAGGCATTCCCCCATCATTTGCTTTACTTATTTACTTATTTTTTGAACACTTTCTTATTTTTTGGCACTACGAGATCCTCAAAGCTCATTTTTCAAACGAGTAGTTTATATTTTGTTCCTTTACACATGCGTTGTCTTCCTCCTTCCTTCTCATTTGAAGGTTCACTGAACTGGTTTTAAAATTCTTAAATTTACAATATTTATTTTTTCAACGTGTGATCTGGCATTTAATGCTCTCTGAAGTCTGCCTGATTTTGTCTTACCATTTTGGTTGGGGTAGGGTTGTTGTGTGTGGGTGGAGGGGAGGAGTTTAATTTTTTGAAATTAAGTTTTACAAGAATAGAGGTAAAGTTGATTGACTTTCAACCTCTGCTTTTTCCACCACAGAGATCTTTTTTGACGGACAGACTCAAGATACAGAGATTTCTTCTATACACCTTCTTAAGTGTTCTTGTTCCATTTTGATTTTTCCCTCTGCTAGACTTACATTGGCAGAGTGTCTATTAACTTTTCTTGATATCTATTCTCATTTTCCTTGATGTTTTCTTTAAAAATCTGTGTTCTCCTGCATTCTTGGAGAGCTTTTCAAGTATGTTGTCCATCTCACTGATTTGATTCTCAGCATTTGGAGTCTGTCCTTTCCTGGTTCCAATGGACATTTTACCTCTTTGCTTGCATTTTTTTCCTGTGGTTTCCTTGCATCCTTTCTTATGTAAATGAGTCTTCTTTTATTTCCGTTTCTTTATCTACCTGTTGGTTTTATTTAATCACTTACCCTTTTTGCCTCTCTCAAAAACAGAGCTCATATTTTCTGCAGTCTTTGAAAAGATGACACAAATGTTATCATTAAATGTATAGTCCTATTTTCTTATATGCTTTAGGAGTTTTTATAAATATGTCCTGCAATGAGATTACTATTACCAGTATTTAATCTGTGTGTTTTTGATCAAAGAAAGGTCTCTCTGTTTTTGCATTTTCCAATAGAGTGGGTGTGGGATTCTTCTTGGTCCTTCATTACTTGGATGCCACTGAGTTCCCCATTCAGACTCTCACCCAGAGGTGCTTGAACTACATGGCACGGAGCTGAATGTGTTGGTCTGTTTTCCTGGTGTAGTTTTGCTGGATAGAACAGGAAGT